TTAAATTTTCAAGGTTGTTAACTTTAACTTAACTTAGTTAAAAGAAAAAAGTAACTTACCCAACCCTGGTATTTTCTCATGTTGGTAAAAATTATAGTATCTTACTACATGCGGCGTAAAATAAGGAAAAATTTACAAATCATTTATGCTTACTATGACATCACATCAGGATTACGAATCCTTTCAACAAAATTCGGTACATCAAAATCGACATTTGTTTACCCAAATTTTACAGTATATTTATCTTACTTTATGCGGCATGAAATAAATAAAAGTTTACAAATCATTTATGCTTTCTATGACGTTACATCAGGATTACAAATTCTTTTAACAAGATTCAGTGCATCAAGATCAACATCTGTTTACCCAAATTGTACAGTATATTTATCTTACTTTATGCGGCATAAAATAAAGAAAAATTTAAAAATTATTTAAGCTTTCTATAGCATCACATAATAATTGTAAATGTGCATCATTATATGATGTATTTCATTTAATTATGTATGATGTAAATATTTCATATATAGTGATATCGAAAAAAGAATATTATAAATCTGAAGATATATTTTCATACATATGTTTTTGTAATTCTATAACAAATAATTTAATCATTCAAATAATCTAAATTTTATATTTACATTAATATAAACGTTTTTGCTTTTATAATGTCACAAATGATCATAAAATTGTTCTAAATTTTCAGTAAATTAATTTGTGCATATCGTGATCATCATACAAGTCTATCTGGGAACTTCTACAGAATTTCTTTAAAAAAAAACACCTATAATTAATTCAACTTAAATAGAAATTTAATGTTTTGTTCTTTTACACTTTTTTTATATGTTGTTTTACACTTCTTTTAAATATTTTAGAGTGGACATTTTTCTGATATTCTAAAAAAAGTAGATAAAGATAAGAATTGAAATATTACAAATATAAATCTCGATTTCAAAATTATGAAAAAGTTTTCAGTCCAAAAATAGTGCGTTGAAATGCAGTGTAGGCGAAACACTACATATTTTAATCTTCATATTTGTTACACCACACTGCAAGGCGTGCAGCCAAAAAGAGACAGCTCACTGACATTTCAGAATCGTGATCGTATTATACAAAGATAAATATGAACAAGTCGAACTGGAATAACCAGTATCTGAGATGGCACGTCTCGCGTATATGAAAATAGTAGTTCAAAAGTAGATTGAAAAAGGGGGTGGGCAAAATCAGATGAGATACACACAATTAAATTGCGTGTCATAGGACAACGCTAGAAGATTGTATTTTCATTGCATAATTATTGGTCGAGATAGATTATATTATGCCGTTAAATATAGAGGGGAAAAAATTGTAAAGAAGTGTGGTTAACATATAATAGTTCTATAATTTCATAACATATAAATTAAGAATATAAAAAGTTTGTTACCTACAAATAGAGACAATATTTTAATTAAATATTTATATTAATTCACGACCGGAAAAATCAAATACTTATTTATCGATATTATATCCTTCTGTATATTTTTTGTGCTGTATTATTATATTAAATGATTTTACTTTAATTATATTATTTTATTTATAAATAACATTGAATAATAATTAATAATTTAATTGAAATTATAGTTTTTCGTGTGTGTGTGCGTGTGCGTGTGCGTGCGTGTGTGCGCGCGCGTGTGTGAATCCAAGAAGTCTATATTTTAAAATTCGATTCAAATATATATGTAATAATAAAAGACATTTAATTTTAATCTTTATTTTATTAATTTCTTTTCTTTTCATACTTAAATTCCTTTTATATTCTTTTTCTAAGTTTTATTTTATTCCATTTAGTATATTTTATACATTTATATTATTTAATAAATTACGGTTATCTTAGTTTGAATAATTTTCGCAAATTAATTAATGTACAGTTTTTTAGACAAATTGGTAATTGGATAACAAAATTTTCAATTAAATTAAAACTACCATGAGAGAGAAAGAGAAAGAGAGAGAATAATTTTGCGTAAGCTTCTTGCAGTATATTTACGTTCCCATTAATGAGCTGATGTTGGATGCTTGATACAAATAATAAGCAGCTTGATAGTGACGAGCGTTGAATAGATTGGCTTTTAAAGATCTCATGTCATTATAGGAAACCGAGACAGCTGAATAGATTTATTTATCGTTGTATGGTCAATTCTATGAATCCAGTCAGTCACACTTCTCGGAGTGTTACTATATCTGTATATATATAGGCGTAGTGTGTACCTACCATACTTACGCACGTGGCTCACCGTGCGTGTAGGGTTCTAGGCAGTAATAACTGACGGCCAAAGACATAGAGAATGGACTGCCGTATTTAAATAGTGTATTAAATGTGGTCGACAATAATGAGAGAGAGGGACCGTGGGAGACGGCCAATCTCCCTCTCATTCTCTCTCCCATTACACCATTGAATGGAAAGAGATAGAAACGGCCGTCTGCCACGGTCCCTCTCTCTCATCCCTATCGACCATTTTGACACTCGGATCGTGCAGTCCATTCTCTATGTCTTTGCTGACGGCTAAGTTTCACGATTTCTCGTAAGTTGAGACTCGAGACATGTTCGTATTTCTAGTAACAGAGATTGAATTAACGTATCACCCCGAAGTCCTCGAACTGGTTTGCTCGTGCGAGCACGGCTTGAATTTTTTATTTTTCTTTAAAGTCACTTATTGTTAATAAAACGATAACAGCTTATCATTAACGTGTTACGATCAGGTAATCACTTTTGTAGAAAATTATTACCTTACTTTAAAGTTCGTCGCGAGAGTATGTGTGGATAAACATATACAAAAGTGTATGTATAAAAACAGTGTTATACACTCGAATAACTAGCCCTGAGTCTTAGCCCTGAGTTGTAAAATTACAGAAAATTTTCAGCTACTATATTTCTGTGCGTTAATTATTGTTTATTTTATTTTATGGTACAATTTCCATGCATATCGTCAACTTCACGCGTATTGTTAGCTATTTATTAAAATAATTAATAATGAATAAAGTAAAAGGTGTACGAAAAAGATTACATATTCTATTAAATCCATTTGTTAAATAAACACTATTAAATACACATATTATTACAATTCTTTTATCTCTCAAAAAACATAACAGGCGATTTAATATTTTTTTCAGAGGGTCAAAGAAAGGCTAATTTTGAGGAATATGATGCAAAAAAACGTGAAAATGCTCAAAAAATTTCTTCTCTCAAGAAAAAAGTCAAAGAACTTTACGTGAAATATGCGGGAGCGAAAAATGTATCGTGGATTACCTGAAGAAAAAAATATAACAACCGATTAGCTTTTATAAACTAATATTAAATATTTTCTAGAATAAAGAAGCGATGGAACACGCGGCTCTACTTAGTCGCGATTCTATAGCTTGTGTGAACAAAGATAATTTGGAAGAGATTATAATCACAGCAAGTGAAAATAATGTACGTCTAAGGAAGAAATTAGATCTAGTTAAATATGAAAAAGAGAAGGTGAGTAAATATATATATATTGTCTCGAGATATGACAGACGTTAAATGTATTAATCCCATTAGCACGAACGTACTTTGAATATTTTGCAAACGGAAAACAAGGTATTGGAGCATAGACGCGGTCATTGTATATTCAAAAAGAAGACGGAAAATCCTATGAAGAAGGTAATTTAATCTAAGGTTCTGGTATTCACGTAGTTTATTTTTATTTTAAGAGAGAGAGAGACCGTCTTAAGTTTTAATATATTATATCTTAAGATTCTAATGCGGTTCTGCGATTAGTGTATCCCTTACAAAAGATTTGTTAGGTGGCGTGCATGTGAGCGACGACGCAAACTACGATAGCTGCGATTTTTAGATTGTGTATAGATCGTGTAAATATGAACTGGCAATTGTCTATAGTTCTGTAAAGAAACAATGGCTGCGTTCAGCAGAAAAAGCAGCTTTGCAACTGTTGTAAAATTCTTGAATATGATTGGTTTATACATTTAAATTTAATGAGGAACTAAGGGCAAGACCAATCATATTGAAAAATTTTACAACAGTTGCAAAGCTGCTTTCTCTGTTGAACGCAGCCATTGGCTACGTTCAGCAAAATAAGCAGCTTTGCAGCTGTTGTAAAATTCTTGAATATGATTGATTTAGATCCAATGAGGAACTAAGAGCAAGACCAATCATATTAAAGAATTTTACAATAGTTGTAAAGCTGTTTCTTTTTTGCTGAATGCAGCCAACAGTTCGTTCAGCAGAGAAAACTAATCAGTTAATCACGTTTAGTAATTCTTTAATATGATTGGTATTTGCCTTTAACTTTTCGTTGGATCTAAGTATAGGAACCAATCATATATATTAAAAAATCATTAAGCGCTAACGCAGCCATTATCCGGAGGAGGTTAAAAAGAGAAACATACTTTTCAGGTGTTTTTCTTTCTTAAAATGTTCGGAAACATACATTGTGCATATTAATTAAACATCGCGTAACTCTCAACACACTTTATCCTGAGGATATCCCAAATTGTCCCATATTGGCAAAGCGATATCCCATCTGGGATATCCAAAGAAAATATCGGAAAAACATCGTAAGATATCATAATCTTAAGATATCCTACCATATTCAAATTCTTCCATCACATAACATAATCTAAGAATATCCAGAGTACAGCAAAGGTTAATTGGAGAGTGTCAGAAAAAACTTCTAAAAAATTAGAAGTAAAGAATATCATTAGTTACTTTGGACACAAACGGTACGACGTACTGCATGTTAATTAAGATATATCTCATATGAACCCACACAGCACACTTTATTCTAGGAATGTCCAACGGACGTCAATTTAGGATATCGTGATAATCTTGTGATATCCGTGAATGATTTCAATTATTCAACGGATATTCAGGTGTACAAGTGTCAGCATGTGTGAGATCCCATAGACATCTTAGACGACATCTATGAGATATCACAAGTATACAGAGTGTTTGATAAGTAACGATAAAACTCTCGCATAGGGGTACAGCGAACTAAACTAAGTCAAAAAGTCCTCTACAATTTTACAATTTTCGCAATAGTTAACAAGATATCAATTACTAAAAATCGCCGAATATTGGTTTTCAATAATATTTTACTCAAGTACTATCAAAAAAAACTTTACAGAAAAACAGCAAGAGAAAAAAAATGTTTATTTTCTTCTCATAGAGTTCTAAGAATTTTTTCAGAATTTTTTATCAACTTATAAGTACTGCCATTAGCTGAGATAAGGTTGTATTCCGCAATCGCAATCCCTGAAATTCTGTAAAATGCATAACATAAATTATACAGCATATTAGCACGCTAACACTCGCTCTAATATCGTTGTGAGGACGTTTTCAATACCGACTATTAGATTTATGGACGTATGCCTATCGTAAGATTATAGTTAAGATGGTTTTAATTAAGAACGAACTATGAATACCAATTTAAATTCGCGACGTGCTCCGAAACACTGATTTTATGAATGCGTTCTTCAACTTGCTCAGAAAATCGAAACTTTGGAAGTACAGCTGGAGCATATCCGAATGATGCAAATTAAAGCAAATATTGCGCGTATGAAATATCGTTCTGTTTGTTCCGAATTAAAAGAGAAATCAATACTTTACGCTTCCTCCTTGAAAAATTTGGAAGATGGCATAAGGCAACAAGAAATCGAGATCAAACGTTTACAGGCAAGGCTTATGAGAAAAGTAACAGATAATAACGCTAAGAAAGTAAGAGAAATTCGATATTATACATTTGATTTAACACTACGATTAATTGCAGGGAGTGAAGGAAGAAGCTATAGAATTAAAAGACAGCACTCAAGAGACTTTAGTGAAAGAGGAGATTGAAGAGACAAATTCCAGCAAAAAACGCGATTCTATTATCAAGGAATACAGGTTCACAATAGCTTTACATTAAAAAAGTCATCTTTCTACTATGCAATCGCATCTTCTGATTTCAATTTTGATAAACCTCTTAAAAATTAATAACTATCTCACAAAATGTTTTCTGATGACTAGCACATTACAAATATAATTCGGCATTTAACATTTCTACGTAATCAGGCAACGCGTGGCGGAACGAAAGATGGAATTGGAACGATTGGAACGTATGATATTTCATACCCGTCCGCGGGACGATTTCGAAATACGTGGGAAAAGTCGCGTACAGGTACAAGAGGACATGATCAAGGACGAGCTGGCGCGACTGGAGGAGGCGTTCGCCAAGCTACAGAACGCTACCGGAGTGTCCAAGTCCGAGGAAGTTCTGAACCGGTTTCTGGGTCAGAAGGCGACCAAAGAGAGTCTGCAGAAAATGCGAACGGCCACGGAACAAGAGAAGATGGTGTTGGAAAAGAGGAGGCAGGAGCTTAACGCCGAGATAGAGATGAGAAAATTTTCGGAAACAAAGAGCGCTGAACAGTTAGTTTTCGAAAACAAAAATGAATAACAAATTTATAAAATGTCTGCTAATTAGATATATTATTAATTTAATTTATATTTTATTGTATTAAAAAGAAATCATTACAACTGACAATGAGTGAACTAAACCTATAATCTATATCATCTACTTTAACTTACAAGATCTATTTTTTAATTATAATACTTGCTTCAAAGTTTCAAACGTGTATTAAAAAATCGGCTTTTAAATTGATTCCACAACTTATGATGTCTGTCAAACTGATCTTATTAAGTATAGGTTTGAGGAGACAGGATAACGTCAAAGTAGAAACGAGGAAATTTTCAGAAACGAAAAGCAGTTAATTTTTTCGGAAGCAAAAATTGATAACTAGTTTATAAATTATCGCTGTAGCTTTAATTAATTTGTAATATTACATTAAACATTTCAGAAACGCGGAAGTAGTAGCAAAACTCAACTTGCAAATCGATGAACAGCGATCTCGTAGGGAAAGAGCCGAGAATGCAAGTCGACGAATCCGCGAGCTCTTAAACGAAGTAACTGGTATACTGTATAAACTGTGTGAGAAGTTCCAGGTGAGAGTTATTAATTATAAGTCCGTGGACGACAGAGTCTAGATGGAGTCTGACAACTTAAGATAGATGCTTAGAAAGGTCCCACGCTGACCGTTTTTCAAATCAGAAAAAAGTAGACAATTTCTATAAATAAGTCGCTCTAAATAAGATAGCATTTCTAATAACTAATGATACCTAACCAATTTTATGATAATATGTATGATTTTAAAAGTATTCAGTTATGATAAAAAAATAGCATTACATTAGTTTCTTAGCATTACATTAAGACTTGATAACGTTTTAGGCTAATAAAATTCTAATAAGATTTAAGTTTAAAATACTATTAGTATTAGACGAATAATACTAAATAAAAATAAGGTCAAATTTGAAAAGCCGTGCAATGATTAGATGAATAAAAGAAATAAAAAGTAATACTTATTAATGTATGGTCAATTTTCAAAGTAAAGAAGAACCTTAATTAACGCTTTTCTTTTAGCGGTGTGCATGTAACGTGTTCTTACAAATTATCACGTACAAGAGAACATATTTGGTGGATAAAGCTTCGTAATGTCGAAATGGAAGTGCCGTGTAAACGCCTAATTGAATTAGTAAAACCACCTTTAGTGATGTAGCTACGGTGAACATCTTCGACTATTTATTGTTCTTGGAAGCTTGACACCCCTAGCGTTGTTCATCTTGTATCGTTGATGGATTTTCCTGAATATGTCATGTTCTGTAATTCTCACCTCGAGCCGCATCACCAGCGCCCGCATTAACACCTCGGTGTTCGATCGAGAATAAACATTTTTGTAACGCGAGACGACTGCGTAAAAAATCAGTATTGATTCTATCGGAAATATACATAGAACCTCGAACTCGTTAATTTCTGATACAAATTGTCTGGCCAACTCTTTCAATACGTTCACAAGACTACCTTTGGTAAAAATTCTTACAATGAAAATTTTCTATTCAGAAATGGATTTATATACGGAAACTAGTATAATTTATATAGCAGAATCGTCATTACTAAAGACCATAAAAAAAAAATAATTTCACATTTGAACAAATTAAGTATTCTTTAAAGATACATATTTGTATTAAAAAAATTATTTCTTATTTTCTTAAAATTACATACTAAAACCTAATTTTCTTTCTTTTTATTTATTAAAACTTTGGATAATATTTTCTTTATTATTATTAGTACTTTAAGAAATAGAAAATGAAGATAATTTTCAAGTATTTATAAAATATAAAAATTTTATTTTCCTTGCTGCAGAAAAATTAAAACTTCTTTTTTAATAGAAAAAAATTGTTTCTTATAGGAATAGTTAGAAATAGAATCTATTATTAGATCATTGATTATGGTTTGAAATTAATTGTTGATTTGCAAAATTTGTTAATGATTTATAATAAGATAGATTTAAGAAAAACTGTGGATAATAGTATTCTAGTTTTAACAAATAAGAAAACTGTTAACTTTAATAATTTTTTACAAGATATCTTACAACATTTAACTTTTTTAATGCTTTCATGGGCTGTTTTACAATGAGAGTGAATGGGAATAATATTGTGTAGTAAGCACAGCTGTAAGCTATAAGAATTTGACCAATCATAATCGATTATTTTCTTCATATTCGATTGTAATTGTTTGATTTCTTATTGTTACGGCTTACAAGTTACCATACTATATTACTCCCTTTGTAGACAGTCCTTGAGACCCATCTCTTTTTTTATTTTATTTTATTGATATAATATCTCGACATTTACAAAAACATTTATAGCATGTTACAGATATTCCTCTCCTTGAGAATATTAAAATGGACGATACTTTAGCAATTATCGAATTATTAAGTAATAAAGTCAAACATGGCATGGATGTTTTAAATACATCCGACAAATATCTTGAAACAATGGATGAAGCCTTGCTAGACAAGGTTAGTTTCAATTATCTCTAAAAAAAGTTCTTGATAAGAAATCGCAGCTAACACGGAATATTTCTGAAACGTTCCTAAAATAACAAAATGTTCCTAAAATAATAAAATAAGATTTCAAGAGTATTCCAGAATGTCCTGAAATATTTACAGAATGTAAAAGCAATATTCAAATAATTGTCATCTTTAAAGGAAACGTTTAACATAGATTTTAGGCGAATAATATCTATATACTTATTTTTGTTTGTATACAGTATCTCTCATAAATATTATTACATATATGTAAAATTTACATAAAATATATATTTTATTTATATATATATTACATGAAACAAAACATAAATTATGTTTTTGTTTGTAATATTCTTAATATTGTTTTTATTCAAATAAAAAACCAAAATCTTGATTTAAAAACTGATTTCTCATATTTTACATTTATTTTTAATTTATTTTGCAAAAACTAAATTATTAGAATTTAAACTTCTTATTATAGATACCAATTTTGATGCTTTTTTTATTGCTAGTCTATTATGTACTTTATTGTGTACAAAACTAAAAGTGGAAAATAATATTTCAACGTCTGCAAAGGATGCAACAGCTGCATGGACTTATATTGATAAATCAAGCATAACATTATTTATGCTTTGGAAAAAACGCCATTATGATATTGGACTGACAAACACTGAAAATATGTAGTGCATGTTACGTATACTATAGATTTTCACTACTGACAAATGTATATTAAAATACAAATTATATCACCGATGAAGTATTATAAAACGGTCGATTAAAAGCACTTTTTGACCTTCAAAGGGATCGGTGGAAACATTGGAAACCCCGCAATTGAAGAGTATCTCGAATTAGCATCTTAAGTTTTTAAGATTCTTAAACCCGGATCTACAATAAATCTTTAAGCCTTAAGCCATAAGGAATGGACGAATCACAATCAATTATTCTCCTTGTATTCGACTGTAATTGGTCAATTTCTTACGGCTTAAAACTTAAAACACTCATTATAAATCCGGACTAAGACTTTATCTAAGATGATCTTCAAATCAATTAAAATAAGAATAACCCATAAATATCAGAAATTTTAATAATGTTTTAAACAAGTTTTTTGAAAGTACTATTTGAAATATGTTTGAAACATATTCAAGACGTATTTAAAACATGTTTAAAACACGGTTTTTAAAATATTATTTAAAATATATTTAAAACATCAAAAACATATTTTCAACAAAAAAACACAATATTGTATTCTTTTTACAAAAAACAATTTTTTTACCAATCTTGGTAAAAATAAAAATTCTATACGGAAAAGAATATAAAAAATCTGTTCTTTTTCCACTCCAAGTTTTGAATTGTATTATACACTAATGTAATAAGTTAGTGAAACAGATATAGTTTGTTTTATTTTAACTTATTGTACTAGATTAGAACTAATTCAGAACTCTTTGAAAAAGAATCAACAAACCTAAAAAGCTCAGCATTTCATTTGTTCAATAAGTCGTTGAAGTTGAGCTCTAAGATAATAATTTAAAAAATGTATTTTTGGAATGCAATTTTGTTTAAAAATTAATTCAAGGACCTCTAAACCTGAAATTTTTCGAAAAAATTATAGTTTTATGGAACATATGTCAAATTTACAACATTATCCAAATATATAACGACACTATGTGAATGGAATTTTTAATGATTATTTGAATATTACTCTTATAATACAGTCTGTAAATATTTCAAGATATTCCGGAATACTCTTTGATGTTGTTTTTGGATTTTAGGAACATTTTATGAATATTTCAGGAACACTTAGCGTTAGCTGGATTATTTATTTAATATCTGTATATTTTTTACTCTAAATTATTTACTTTTACAAAAAATTTTATAATTTTTCTAATCCGGCAACTTTTTAAATCTCCAACTTTCTTTAAATATTCCTTTACTATTATATTACATGCGAACAGGTTTCTCGAATTTGCAAATTATGCGTGATTTATGTGAGCGAAAATTCAAAAGATCCCTAAATTGACACGATCGGCCATAAATATTCGCTTTCGTCTTTCAGTTAGAAACATTGTCGATCGCTACAACCTCAGTAGAAGGCAGAACAATGCGTGTTAACAGCGGTGGGCCATTGTTTCCAAGGTTTCCATCTTGTGCGATTCCGGCTGCTCCTCTGTCGGAGGACGAGGACGAAGTCCCGTCTCGAAATGCATTGAAGAGGCAAGCGCAGTTGCTCGTTGATACTAAAAGCCGCCGTAAAGGATTCGCCTTTAGAAGATGAATTGTTTAAATCGTTCGAATGTAAAAATAAAGTCAGTTATTATAAAACTTTTCTTATTATCTATGTCAGAGTGTTTCACAATTCGCGATCAAAATTTTAATAATATATTTTTTACTTAAAAATAAGACAAAAATCCTAACATCGAGGATATAATAGTTTTCAAATTAGTAGCAATTAAAGTTAACTAATCGCAGAGCTCATATTTCAGCGCCCTCATCAATGACGATACATATGTACATCATGCAAGTGGATGCTTTTACGCCTGTTCACTCCTTATGAAATTGAAGTAGTTATCTATAAAATAATGTTAAAATACTTTACTAATCATATTCAAACATAGAAAATAAGTACATATGTATATATAGGGTGTTGTGGGGTGATGTGCAACGTTTTTTTTCGTTGCTCGAAAAACATGGCCAATAATCAAATTTTGAAATATTCCCCGACTAAATAATTTAAAGGAATTAATATAAAACATTTCTGCATTATAAGATTTTCAGAATTTTAAATTTTTCCTAAAAATTTTTCGCATTTTCAAAAACGTCTGTTTTGGCATTTTCCAAAAAAGTTGGGGTGATGTGCAACACTAGTAAAATTCAGGTATGTAATGCATAAATATCGATGTAAATCGCTTTAAATGTTAAATTTAGGCTTCTTCAATGCGAATTAATCACCAAAGAGAAAAAAATTTGTTATTTAATTGTTTATTTATTTATATCTCAATAAGCAATATAATTCAAGGAAAAATAACTCAGAATTTTTTATTCATCGTCCGAATCGCAGTTATTGCATGTAAAGTAGTTACGTCCTTGCAAGTTGACACATTTCAAATGATATGGAATGTCGCAAGTATTACAATAAATTGAATTATTGCGATTCAATTTTTTGGCAATACTTGTTTACATTCAGGGCATATTTCTTCAACTTCTTCATCCGATGAAGTGGATTTACGAAAACGTTTTTTAGGTGGCTGAGCGTTGGCCTTGATCTTCTTTTGCGACGATGGTGTCAACTTTTTGGCTTTCTTGGTCCGGTCGTCGGCTTTCTTGGCCCTGTCGTCGGCTTTCTTCCATAAATCAGAAACATTATCTGGCGACGTCAAAATGCTGCTTTTCAAAGATTTTCTGCCACGATTTGATTTTGGCATGGGAGCAATAATGTGAACTGGACCAACACTAATTAATGCTGTCGCAAGTGATTGGGATGTGGACGCAGTTGACGTGGAGGTTGCAGATATTGCTGCTGCTGAGGTACTGGTAACTGCAGAGGCTGTTGTTGACACCTCTTCTGTTTGAGCAATGGACAAATTTCGCACATCGTCGATGCCTTCTTCAGCCATTAGATTCTCACTGCTGAGTTGTGCTGAAGGAAAATCGTCTTCTGTAAATATGTCGGTATTTATAGGGAAGATCCCTGTTGCTGCGAAGCCACTTCGGATGTTTAAGGCAGTGCAGCTTTGAGTCAAGGCCTTGTCAACCGCACCAGCTACATGGTGAATCTCGAACTTTCGCCCGGCGTTACTAAGACCCCACTCATGGACTTTCACTGCGTATGTCTTTTTGACGGGACCAAAAACGGAAACATTTAACGGCTGCATGCGATGACTACAATGGGGTGGCAGTGTCAACACAATAATGCCATTATGAACACACAAATCGATGGCCTCGATCGAAACATGAGATATGTGGTTGTCCATGATCAAAAGGAGCGGATTGTCTTTCGAGGCAGAAGTAAACTTGATGAAATGCTGCAGGAACACGAGAAAATCCGCTACTGTCATCCAGCCGCATTCATTCGCAAATCCAATGGATCCCGGCGGTGAATTTTCCATGAAAATGGATTTCATGTTTTTCCGAGGAAACAAGAAGAACGGTGGAATGGTAGTACCAGCAGCGCTGACACTGACGACCACGGTTACGTTCGTTCCGCGCTCAGCCGAAGCAAAAGAGCCAAGTTTGGCTCCTTTCTGTGCCACCACTTTCACTGGTTGAGTTGGCACAGTTGAGAAGCCACTTTCATCAATATTCCAAATTCGGTGTTCTGCAAATTGTGTTTCCTCCAAAACAGCTTTCAAATTAGTGAAAAATTCGTCTACCGATTCTCTACAAAATCCTTTCAAGCGCTGAAAGCTAGTCGATTGTGGCTTTCGCAACGATATATTTTTATGACGGCCCATGAATCCGTAGTACCAATCCCTGGTAGCTTGGCCCTCTTCCGTCCACCGTTCCGGTATTGCGATACCCAATTTTTTCCCATATTCGTAAGCTAAGGTACGAATATCATTTATCGATAGACCATAATTCATTGTCGAACATTTCATAATGTACGACATTAGTGCATTCTCCTCAGTTAAATCGAACATCTAAAAAAAAATGGAAAATTAAAAACCAAAGAATCATAGAAGAACAAAGGTTACGAAAAACAAGAATATTTAAAATTTAATTTATTATTTAATTTTAAATAAATTTAAATTAGAGTTAAAAATTATACCTACTTTAAATAACTTACATTCAAGTTTAATATTTCATTTTAAATAAATTGAAGTTTGAAATTTAATTTAGATTTTAATTAGAAAAATTACCGGCTTTCCTCCAAGAATGGTAGTTGATTTAAAAAAACTGAGCGCTTCGTCCTCGGTGATGCTGTCGAAAATACGTTCATCTGGTGGAAACTGCACGTCAAACGTTTTCATATGACGTAATAAAGTCGACGGGACTAAGTCGAAACAATCAGCAGCCGAACGGATTGACACCGATTGATCGATTTTCAGCAACTTAATTGCTTCCCAAATTCGCCGAAAATCCACCGGAGCAGCGATGCCTTTATTTTTGTATTTTCGTGGCATAATAACTAAAACCATTTTAAAATGCATAAAAACACTTCATATAGGGTGAATGTTCCAATGAATGAACGGTTAAGCAATTTTTACACTTTGATCGATCGTAAGTTTTAATTCTTATTTAATGAAACGAGGTTTTCTACGTACCTCAATGTCCGACGACGTTTTCCGTACTATTTGAGAATAACTTGAAAACTACGCTTTGTTTCTAGAAAATAATAAACACTGGAAGGTCAATAGTAGTAGTAAACATTGTTCTGAATGTTCAAAGAAAAGAAAAACACATATTTCATAGACTTTGTGCACTGTATATTCATAATAAATAGAAATATGTGCCAATCGTCTATTCATTGGTGATCACCCATTCACTCATACATTCATCCTACACATATTTCATCATAAAATATCGATAAACTAGCAAAAAAGCAGTGTTGCACATCACCCCGAAAAAAGTGTTGCACATAACCCCAAATACGATATTTTGCGCAAACTGATTTGTATGCTATACAATACAATGGAAACACAAAGTATCTTTGGATATTTAAAAGCAACTTAAAAAACCACCAATAAACACATATTTACCTATCAGATAAATTAAAACACTTCACGAAACGACTAGAAATGTAAAGCGCGAAAAATATTCTCTGCTCGAGAAATTTAACTCGATGTACGTACACCGAACCCTGGCTGCGAGCTGTCTCGTGAATTATATATCAAAAACAAGTTACTGAGGACGCAAACAGATGGCACTAAACGCGTCTGTTCAATATCGAACTGTAGATCAGAAACCGGCGGTGTTGCACATCACCCCATGTTCCACATCACCACATATACCTATATATACATATATATATATATATATATATATACATACATGCAACCCAAGCAGAACAACAAGTCATTATGAGATCAAAATGATGTCAAAATGACTCCAAAATGATCACTAAAAGTCATTTTTCAATCATTTCCGATTCATTTTAATGTCATTTTGACGTTATCGTGACTTGTTGTTTTGATTGGGTATATAATTATAACAATGTAAAATATTACAGAAATATTAAAAATAATAAATATGTATAATGAATAATTTTCCAAACTTATGATTATCATAAACAATTTCTTTCGCATGATAAAAATGTTTTCCTTAATATCGAGCTATTTTCCAACATATATGCGTACATATAAGAAAAGTGTCGTAAAACTCGGCAATACTTGATGAAAAGTATGTAATTAACAGGGAATGAAAGTAACTCTTTTCTTGTAAGGAAGTTACAGTTATAAATTACTTATTTTTTGGTAACTTTACTGATAACTGCGTTACTTTTTTTTGGTAATTGTAATGGTAATGTAGTTACATTTTTTTGGTAACGGCAAAAATTTACAGTTGTTAACAAATTTAATATTTACTTTTGTTACTTTGCACACGATTGGACACGATTTGATTGGGCACAACCATCACACTTGAACAATTTGGTCACATGACTAATGGGATTGGTCAATTCTTTCTTTATCTGAGGTCTCAAATCGATTTCTAGCATCGTGAACATCGAGCTTAATAGTGACCCCCTCGATGAGGTAATCACTTAATGTAATCTTGGGAAAGAGTCCTCGAAATCATTATAAAATTCATATGAAATCTCTACGTATAATCCGATAATTACATATGCAACCACGAAAATTTATTGTATAATATTAAAATTAATTAAATAAAATCGTATATTTTATCAAATTACTTCATATGTAATGAAAAAAATTATTTGTAATCAGATGAAATCATGTGAAATCATGTAATCTGCGGGACAATATTTCAGCTAGTGGTTACCCCCTCGGACCCCCTTTACACCGTTAAATCGATTAGTACGCGTATCAAGTTGGTGCGGACTAAGCATTTGATACGTCCCTATTTACACCCACTTGTCTAAAAACAAGTTAAGTTAGGTTTTTGATCCGGATAAAGTCCCAACTTAACAATTTGTATTAAATAAATGACAAAAAATTGTGAGTGACAATCGGTCGCTGATCCTAAATGCTTAGACAAGCCAGTGTCCAATGTTAGAAACTGTATACGTGGTGGTGGTAAAATAATAAAATATGCTGTGAGCCTACAAACTAATTTTATGTCCGTAGGATTCTTATCGAATAATTTTCCGACTCAAGCACTTCTTTTAAAATAGCACTGTTCCTTTATACGTTTTTTGTGAAAATTTTTCACAAAATGTGTTTTGTTGCAGGTAAACATTAACATTTCTTTATTTATATTTATAATACTTCCACATTTGTTATTGTACAATTTGTTGGAGCAGGCAATAGAGCATGCTAAATAAGAAAATTAATTAAAATTTCTCAGTTACATAAATAAAATGTGATAGCATCATTGGCTGCGTTCAACAGAGAAAGCAGCTTTGCAACTGTTGTAAAATTCTTAAATATGATTGGTTTATACATTTAGATCCAGTGAGGAACTAAAGGCAAGACCAATCATATTAAAGAATTTTACAACAGTTGCAAAGCTGCTTTCTCTGCTGAACGCAGCCATTGTTAAATGCTAAAGGGTCCTCTACATAGGTCGTAGACAGTCGTGGAGTCTTAAGTCGTAGGAAACTGACCAATTCCAATCGAGTATTCTCCTTATATTTGATTGTGATTGGTTGGTTTCCTACGACTTAAGACTCCACGACCGTCTACGACTGCTATGTAGAGAACCCTTAACAGTTATTGTATGTGTACTATACAGTAGAAAACAAATGAACTTTTCAATTGCCGCGGTTTTCTTTTTCGGGCGCATACTTATGAAAACGCATGCGCGTGTGGCCACAAAGTATGAAAATGTGACCGCAGCGCATGCTCACATCGCTGTGTTACGTGACTATGACAGATATTCTAACCTGAATAGTCGTGAACTTTAACGCTTAATATCTCAGTTCGCGGGGCAGAGCGACGCTTTTTTCTATCAGATTCTTTCGTTTTATGGAAAAACGCGTCGATTTAGTATAATTTCATCGATTTTTAAGAGGATGACCGTCCATTGCACCTTTACCGAAATCAGAACTAAGTTGCATGTCAGTGCGGTGCCTAAGTCATTACCTTGCAGAGAAGAAGAATTTAATAATATTTATACATTTCTAAAAAGCAAACTAATGGATAATAGTGGAGGGTAAATTTGTCTAAACATTCCTTAATATTTATTGGCATTTATTTCTTTTTCGTATATATTAAAATCTATACATATTGCAGAAGTATTTATATAAATGGAGTCCCAGGTACAGGAAAGACTGCTACTGTAAATGAGATTGTGAAATGTCTAAAGAGATCAGTCAAAAAAGGTAAATTAGATCGTTTCGATTTTGTTGAGATTAATGCTATGAAATTATCCGAGCCCCGGCAAGCCTATGTACAAATTCTGAAGCAACTATCTGGAAAAGTTTTAACATGGGAACAAGCATATAATATGTTAGAAAAAAAATTTAATAGCAGTGTTAAAAGGCCAATGACATTGCTACTTGTAGATGAGGTATATGTATACATGTATCTTATTCTTTATAACTTTATACATATCTTTATATACATACATATCTGTATTCTTTATATATCTTTTTATATACATTTTTACTTTTCTATTATCTATTATTTTTGAGGGGTTGGTCACAAGTGGTTATAATGTACAAAAATTATTCTTGATATGGATTACCTTTAAATTATCCCGGATTACTTAAGATTACCTAATACTCTCAAATTATTCCAGATTATCAAGTACTATCTCATATTACCTAAGATTATCTTAGAGTATTTAAAATTACGTCATATTTTCTGAGATTACCTTAGATTTTTCCAAATTTACTTTGCTCATCTAAGATTATCTTATACAAGTACATAAATATTATTTCTTTATATCATTCTAGAATATCTTCATAGACCACTATGATAATAAATATCTTTGAGAACATCGATTTTATATTTTCACTGTTTGAGAAAAAAAAAAGTAATTTTACAAAACAAACATTTATTACATACAGGAATACAAAAATATAAAAATTTCGTAAACAATATGTATTGTATGTACAGATTCTATGTATATATAGTAACAAGTTCGACTACTCGTAACGTTTAAGATTTTTTAATACCAACAAAACAATAATTGAATATAAAAATTAATAGATATTTTATAAAATAAAAAAATATTTAAAAAGAAACACCAATAGTAACACAGACTCTTTGTTAAACGATATCACAACTTAGTATTAAATTAAAGATTTTGCGATTAATCAAGTTAAGTATGTATAAAAAGGTATTTGAGAACGCTAAAGATTATTTAGATTTATCAAAAATTACCTTGGATTATCCAAAATCACGTTTGGATTGCCGTTGATTGCCTAGCCCTTGTACAAAAATTACCTCAGTAACCTACCCCTCTGATTATTTTGTTGTCTTTTAAATTATGTTAATTTTTATTTATTATTTTATCTTTATTATCTCTCTTATTTGTTTGACTTACATTTTTATTATCTTTATTTAAAACAATAATAAGTAAAAGGACTCCTCAAATTTAAAATATTATCTATATTTAAATTTCTAGCTTGATTTATTATGTACAAAACGACAGGATGTAATATATAATCTTTTGGACTGGCCTACAAAAGCTTCTGCTCGATTAATAGTCATTACTATTGCCAATACTATGGATCTTCCAGAAAGAGTTTTAATGGGTAGAGTGACGTCGCGATTAGGTCTTACTCGAGTAACTTTCGAACCATACAATTATAAACAATTGTATGAGATAATATTAAGCAGACTTAAAAACACAGACATTTTTGAAAATGAAATTATACAATTAATTGCACGGTAAGCATAATTTAAAACAATATTTTAAGCATGATCTAGCCTTTGTATTTAAATTTTTTTTTATTTAAATATTGAACTAATACATATATATATATTCTTTAAATGGATGTATCTAAGAAATATGCTTGCGCGCCGTTACTATTGGATTTTTAACACAATTCATCTGAAATATTAATAATCCTCCAAATTTAATTACATACATATTAAAACCTGTAAAAAACTTAATGCAAAAAATATTATCTCGACCAGGAGTCGAACTCTGATCTCTAGCATTCTGTTTAAGCGTCTCAAGCATAGATATCTAGATTACTGATACGCGAAAGAATGCGTCAACAAATCGCCATGTGAGAAAGTTCCGACGCATGCGCAGTGAAGAAGCGTGTTCTGAATACGGGCCACATATCACCTATATGTATGCATTGTACTAGACTGCTAATATCTATTACTATAATAATTTTATTCCTAATTGAAGACAAGAATGTTTTAAAAAAAATTAATTATGATCATTGAATTGTTTCACAATAATGTTGTATATATGTATAAAATTAACCTAGAAATTACTTGATTTACATAAACTTCAGTGATCGGTTTAGTTCTAATATTCTTGAGAGAGACTTTTATAAAATATGTAAATACAAATTTTTTTAAGATGTATGTAATTAAATTTGGACGGATTATTAATATTTCAGATAGATTGTGTTGAAAGTCTGATAGTAACGGCGTGCAGTCATATTTCTCATATAAATTCATTTAAAGAATACATGTATATATTAGTTTAACATATAACTTTGACCATTGAATAGCGTTTCTCGTACTTAGGTGATGTAAGTCATATAAACGGTCTTGTTTCTAATCTTATTATTTCTTTATTTAAATACTTGATATATTTTATGTATGTATTTATATTTTTATTGATGTATAATTTTATTATTTTAAAATATTCTTAAAATACTTAGCCCATTTTTATTAGTAATCTATGAATTATACTCATTTTTTATAATAGTTTATTTTTATAATGAAATTGATAAAGTTTGATTGAATATTGTAAGCGCATCTTATATTTTGTATTTTAGTAAAGTATCCGCAGTATCAGGCGATGCTCGCCGTGCTTTGGACATTTGTCGTCGAGTGGCAGAAATTACCGAAACACGCAATAATACTACAGTAAGCGTACAAGATGTAAATGAAGCTTTGTCGGAGATGATAATAAATCCAAAAGTTCAAGCGATAAAACATTGCTCAAAATTCGAGCAAATATTCTTGCAAGCCGTTTGTGTAGAAGTCAAACGAATTGGCGTAGAAGAACTTTGTTTTATGAATGTTTATAGACAATTTGAATTTTTATGCTCCTTTGATGGTTTGTACAAAAAGAATTTATTAGTAAGAGAATGTGTGAAAAAAGAATTATACTATTGCAATTTCTATTTCTAGGTTACAAAACACCTAATATTACTCAAACTCTTGATATTTGCGCAAAACTGGGTGATTATAGATTGCTAATATGCGAATATTCAAGTAACGATATATATAAAAAAATTCTATTAAACGTATCAAAGGATGAGCTGCATTATGCGTTACAAAAAATTGATTTTGATTAAAGATACGTAAAATATGTCTATAATTTATTATTATTAATTTTATTTATTATGCAAAACAACGCAGTTGCGCGTTTTTTTAATGAATTACGACATTACAATTTACTCATTTCTAATTCATACAAATATATTTTTTTGTCATATTATAATAAAAAATTTATTAAAATATGATTACAGTTTCAAACGATTTCATTTTTTATCGACATGTCATGTTGCAGGAAAATCGTATTTATTGAAAGAATATATTTGAAAATATTCAGGATGTATCTTAAAAAGCGAAGCACATAGCGCTATTTATTGATCAAAAATTGAGTCTAAAACTTATGAATCATTTCAATTTTCGCATTTTTTTTAGTTAATTAGAAATTTTTTTTGTAAATAAAAATTTATAGAGTAAATAGAAATTCTATTTATGGAATAAAAAAAATTAAAAAATGATGCTTGACTAAAAAAAATGCAAAAATTGCAAAACGATTATAAGTTTTAGACTCAGTTTTTGATCAGTGAATAGCGCTATATGATTCGTAGGCGTTTTTTAAGATATACTGTATATTTTTGAACATATTCGTTCATAGAATGTTTAAAATTGACGTATGAGAAAAATTTTTAAGAATTTATTTTTAAGATATTTCATAAATAACACTGAAAAATATCTTAAAATTGTCTCATTTGTTGATTATACTCGCTTATTCGACAATCTTTAGAATCTAATATCTCGTTAATTATTGCGAAAATTGCCATATGGTTTAGAACTATAATAAAAAAAATTTTTTTAAATTATTTATTTATAATAAAAATTATTTATTCATAAAAAAATTTTTTTTTATTATAATTCTAAAGTATTCTTGAATTCATCCAATTTTCGTTCAGAACATTTTTTTTATCTCTTACAGTTTCGACGATATCCGCTTCGAAAGAGAAAAACTGATTTTCTTCAAAAGGGTGTTTTACCCCTTAAAAGTACGTATGGGCATGCATACAAAAATACGTGTCGCTTATTTTTGTCTGGAGAATAACATACTAAAAGCTCATTAAAATCAGAGGGGGACAGTTGGGTCCTTTGTTAGTAAATTAGTGAAGGATAGTGAATTGTGTGTTAATATTATTTGTAAGACATATAAAAAGAAATATAAATAAGTAGTGACGATATTGACAAAAATATTCTTATATAATGCTCAAAGTGGGAAGAAATTGCTGCTTTATCTTCTGCGAATGACAGTCTTAAGTCTAGTAGATTATCATACATCTAGTAAATTATAGGTATTTCCCAGTATGAATGATTTGTATTGGATAAATGATCAATATTAGAAAAATGCCTATTAGGATCGAAGCATTCATTGCTTTAAATAATTCAATCTTCAATTATCAATATGGGAGGATCCCGTTTGCCTACAGTTCTGATTGTACACACCACTCATATCAACTGGTGCCTAGTAATTTTTTACTGTTTTGCCAATGAGATTTTATTTTTAAATTGGCCAATCAGCAATACATGTGTGCAATATGCGGATCGGTGCCCTCCCATGTGCAATCGGAGCCCTCCCAGCATCATATTATAAAGATGTTAATATGTTGAATCTGTTAATATTATATTACGTCGCCTGAAAGAAAGACGTTGTTTCCTTATTGTACCGATTATTGCGAAGAATATTACTAATGCTGGATTCACACTGCATCCAATTTGCGTCATACGACGCTCTGCAATAGGGTTTACAATAGTAAATAGGTCCGAGTCTACAATAGGGTTTTAAGCCTTAAGGCGATGCTAAAGCCTCCTGTTTTACCCACATTTCCATTCGGTGAAAAATCTCTGTATTGGATGTACGGATTGCAAAAGTATTATTGCTTA